AAACCAGGATTATGTCATAAACCAAGCACTGGGTAAAACCCGATTTATCATAAATAACATCAGACAGACAGTGAGAGGAACGAGGTGTATTTTTGATCAATTTAATAATACCAATAATTCGACACGATTCATCATCAAAATGTTCACATAGTGATCAAATTATGTTTTACATTCAATAAAAAGGCACATACATAATTTATAAACAAAGACGATTACAAACATATTCTTCGTGATACATATACATACATACATACATACAAACATACATACATACATACATACATACATACATACAAACATACATACATACATACATACATACAAAACAACGATCGCAAAAACTTTCGAAAAATCAACCTAAGGCCATTCCCAAATGCGCGTGCTATCTGTAGGCGATACAAAAGGGTATTGAAATATATTGAATTCTTTGAGAGTCGTTACGATTGCTGTATATCTCATTCAACCTGTGTTACGTTTGAGCTTTTGAGCTTACACCAACCCGACTTCATATTACGTGACAAAATAACATTCTACTTTATGTGGCGACGACTGCAACTTGCGTTATAACTCAAATCACTCTCTGCATTTATTGTTTGTTAACAATTATTCATAATTGCTCTCGGCAATGATGTTCAAATGAACTACAGTTCTTATTGGCATTTGTTTTCTTTTCGGCAAATTTGTCCAAAGCTCATACCACGCCCTTAAAAGGAACACATAATTTAGAAATGACTTACCCTGTATTTATACACTTTACAGATAATGTATAGTCACCCCCTAAAAAAAAGGTTAGATTGAATTTATTAAATGTGGCTGCATAATTATGCACCGAATTCAAGTTAGACTCTTTCCAACACTTCTACTGACCTACACGTCACTATAATTATGTCACCTTCGAATTAGCAATTCAGTTTAATGTAGCTATTATCTCCTGAATGCCTTTAAACTTACTCGTGCATTTCAAAGATAAAAAGTTTGTTCAGTGGCTTGAGGAATACGGATATGGAAGTTTAAAAAAGGAATCAATGCCACTACTTTTGACCTCTAGTATGTTATTTCAGTTTCGAACAAGATAGTCTTCGTTATGGCACACATTTCATTTCTTTTCCGCAATAGTTGCAAAATATGCAAAATGTGCAATAATGTGCTTCCATTGCTTGCTACAGAGAAAGATACTGCACAATACATGTATTCATAGTCAGATCCACAATTCAACTAGAAGAACAATGCGATCAAATATAATGGAATTACAGTCGAACCTGTCTATTAAGGTCACCAATGGAAACATAATCAGTTACCACTGTCTAAAAGTAGCCTTAATAGCCATGTTCTACACACATTTCTCTCTCGAAGGAGAGATAAGACGCATGGTCACTTTAGACAGGTGACCTTTATACAGAGGTGGCCACTTAGACAGGTTTGATTGTAAATTAAAAAGGTGAGTATATAACATCAAGTCATCAATAAATATCAGTAAAAATCACGTCTTACTATAACGTACACAGTTTGATGTGAAACCCTGCTTTTGATTGCCTTTACATCAGTTCTACAAACGACGTCTTTACAAAAAAAAATTATCTTCGCTTGCATTTTTAAATGAGGATTTCTGTCGCTCGATCGGCAATAATCATAACAACATGGACACCCCCCCCCCCTCCTCTCCCCCAAACACACTAATTGCGACAAACTAAGCAACAAAAAGAGAAAAAAGAAAAGAAATAAAGATATAGAGATGGATAGAAAGATAGCAAGAAAGAAAGAATGAATGAATAAATGAATGAAAGAAAAAAGGAAAGGGTGAGACAATGTGAAAGAAAGATAACACCCTCCTTTCATTGGATAACCTTGTTCCCAATATCTAACACTATAGAAGCCAAACATATTCAATAGTTTGGCCTATGTTAGGCCACGTCAATGACTCCAACTACTGTACTTATATTAAACACAGATGTTGAATTTATGACCTTGGATTTCTTCCACCTTGACTCGTTCCAAGCAACAGAACAGGTGTATATTCTTGATAATAGGACACATTGACCATGAAGTACAATGATCGTGTTATGCACTGCTCAATAATGTTCAGGTCACATTTGGAAAGAATTTTCATACCAGCCGACTGAATCTATCGAAACTAAACGCGAAACAGTGGCGGTGCCAGGGTATTTTATAAGGAGGGGAGGGGCTCTTTCGGATGGTGACGTTAAAGGTCGGTCCCCAGACGTAAATAATCATATCTGATTGATACACGTCTGTAAAAACACAATTACACGCACACACATAAGTTTCAAAACGTGCTGAAAAACAAATAACTATAACGTTGACGTTAGCGGTGGTACTTTTTTTTTAGTGGGGGGAGGGGGGGGGGTTGGGCAATTCTTCCTCCCTCCCCCACACATATTCCCTGTGCATTAGTACTGTTATCATGCGATGGGTTTTCTCAATATACAATCATAATCATTGATACATGACACTCCGATGCATTGACTTGAGAGTCGTGAGGAAATCAATAATTTATTTCTTGAATAACTGCACTGTGAAAAAAATGGGCAATATTATTGCCCAACGTTGGACCCATAGTCAACCCAACCATCTATTGGGCAATATTTTGCCCAGTGGTATTGGTAAACGTAAGCACCCTACTTCCTACTTCACACGTGCATTATTATTTCGTATTTTGACCAAAATTTGAGCAAAGATATGACCTTTCAACTGCCCGACTACGGTAGCCCACTTGTTGGGAAATCTTGACCAGCTGTTGGGCCATTGTGAAAAATATTGCCCAATAGATGGTTGGGTTGACTATGGCACAACGTTGGGCAATAATATTGCCCATTTTTTTCACAGTGTGTACTCTCACAATGAAAGTGAATATTCATTACATAATAATCTACAAGTATGATATTTCATACGACTAATGTATTGCCCCGTGTTGATGACATAATTCGTTATATTGGCCCGTAAAAGCGCGCTTATTTATACTTTGCTAAAGTGTATTACTTTACAGAGCACAAAGTGTCCACCACATTATCATTCTATCTACATCACGTGATTCTGAAACACAAAATTAAAAAAACTGAATTAGTATGTCAGAGTAATGAAAATGAAAGCGGATTTCATGAATTCATAACTTATGCTCAATCATAAGATTACATCATCGAAATAACATATACGCCCACACTTGGGCTTTACAACCGGTGGGATGACTCAATTCACCAAGTATAATTTCTAAACTGGAATTAAATTTGTTCATTCTTATAAATACTGGCAACAATGTTTCACGAATTGAAGTAATACACTATAATATCAAGGCACAGTGTTGCAATATCTTTAATTTCATTTTTTACCTAACAGAAATAAATTAATTAATGAAAATTACGTTTTATCACTAAAAGTATGAGACTTTAATTCGTCACAGTGTAAAGTAGTAATGCTAGGCCTAAATGTTTCAACTAATTGCACTCCTCCGATAACCTCCATATCAGCTCACCATGCTGTAAAGGAGATAAGGAAGAAGAGGAAGACAAAGAATGAGAAGAAGAAGAGGAAGAAGAAGGAAAAGAAGAAGAAGAAGGAAAAGAAGAAGAAGAAGAAGAAGGAGAATGAGAAGGAAAAGGGTAAGGAGAAGAAGAAGAAGAAGAAGAAGAAGAAGAAGAAGAAGAAGAAGAAGAAGAAGAAGAAGAAGAAGAAGAAAGAAAATGGAAACAGAAAACGTTTAACAAACAATTAAACTTTTTGCGATTTAAACTTGAAAGGTACAGAATTTTGTGAAGATAATCTTAATCTAAATCGTATCGCACAATCGTTTGTTCGACGGCATGTAACATCATGTAACATCAATCAACTCAAAGAAAATGGGCCTATCATTATTTTTGTGAGAAATTCAAAAGAAACAAACAAAATGTGATTTATCTCGAGTCCTGTCGTCACACTATACCAACAGAATATATTTGACAGTCACTACACGAATATTTATTATATGTTTTTAACGAACGAAACAAAACAAAAACAAAGATAAAATGCACAATTGCTAACATTCACTTGCTTATTTAGTTTACTAGAAAATAACCAGACAATGAAACAGTATACAGAGACAGTAGTCGTCGTATGTCTATAAATAATTATTTGTATCATTGTCTGACAGCATATACAACGAAAACCAAAGCAGTAGAAGCCCTTTTAAAGGTTTAACATATCAAGCATCGTATGGATAGCGATATCATGACGGTAACTGTCCATTTTCTGAGGGCCGCAGTATAATGAAATATGACACATTGAAATAAAGATAAGTCATTAAAAATAATACTCGTTTCAAATAAATTACTTATGCAGCTACAAGCACCAACTTATCTATTGCCACGAAACTATTCATTCACAGCATTTTCGGTATGAACTAAAATTCATAATATATACTGTCTGTACATAATTGTAAAAGTGACACAGTGTAATCATTATATCTTTATATAAACATTAAGGCTAAAAAGACGTAGACGGTATAGATTTATTAGTAGTGGCATTGCAAAAATGGGGAGAGATGCGAAATCCTCCCCTTCATCATAACTTCTTGTCAAATTCTAAATTGTGAGAGACTTGTCTACAATTACACGATTGACTACCCCCCCCCCCCCCACACTTATTTTCGACTTTGGGCATTTCGCTCTGACCCCCCCCCCCCCCCCCCCCTTTCCGTAAATAGTTAATCGGTTAGCGACTTACAATCAAGTGACCTAAATCTCACTCATAAATAGTTGAAATATCGATTAATTTTACACATGGTCGAAAATGGACATAACTGTATTATTTTACCTCCGCACTTTGCGGAAAACGTGGATATCCAAATAGAATTCGGGGAAAATTAAAATCGTTAAAAAAATCACTTTACTCAAAAAAACAATCAATAAACATCGGTTATAAAGCACAAGCTGGTTTTTGCAAAATCAGGAGTGTTTACGTCATGTTTTCGGTACCGCTTTCTTCTGGACCACAGGCACCTTCCTGCGTATAATAACCTTCTTAACTACACGCTTCACCACCCTTCGTATAATCCTAGTCCCGTTCGATATCTTTGGTAATGTGCCACTTCGCTTTGCCGCGTAAAACTTTTTCAGGAAAGGCGTCTCAATGGAATTAGTATGGGCAACGTCCGTGAGGTTCCAGGCTGGTAGGTGGAATTCCATGTTGAACTTGGTGGCCCAACGTGCAAAGACAGCTTTCTCGGTGATGAACTTGTGACCCGATGTGAGTCGCTCCTCACTGATCGTGTAATAATCACACTCTTTTAGGCCATCAGACTCGTAGTAGTGGTACAAGACGGAGGAATTCGGATTCTTCCTGTAACGGGGCAAGAGATAAGACAATATCAGATCAGATACAAATTACGGTGAAATGTATACAACTGTCAACTTCTCAATGATAACAGAGATGGATAGAAAGAGAGGGGATAGAGAGCAGTTGATTAATAGGTTCAAACTCAATTGATGCTGTTTTTAAAATGGCATATCTAAATGGCGACCAAACAAGAACTTTGCATTAAAACGCTTTATCAATGGTATGTCTTTTCAGGGAATAGTTTTACGACGCATTTTCTTGAAAACGAAAGTGTAAAGAATAGCACCCAGTCTCACCGTCACAACGACCACACCAGTAAAATCGAAAACCGAAACCAATCAAATCTAGGCCACTCCGAATAATGCAATAGTTTGTTCGCTATCTATTCGGTCTGGGAATCGCTTCATGACAACTGTCATGTTCACCGATATGGCATTGAAATGCGCGTTCTTTTACAATACACAAGTTTCAATGAGACATCGGTGAAATTTATTACTTATGACTGTTTCATGAAACGACACTCTTGTGTCAATCTGGTCGGTGTGATCGTGGTAAAGGCTTATCAACAAACATAATCAATCATGGCTGCTTACAAGCAGTAGTTTTCTGGAACCAAGCCAAAGATATCCACTTTGTCGCATACATCTACAGCATAGAGCATACTCATCCATCCCGTTGAAAGCCACGTGCGAGCTTCTTGCCTGCAACGAAAGACACAAAATCAAAATATCTTAATAAAATGCTGCATGAAATAATAATGATAAGAATAGCTTCATTATTTTATATAGCTCACGTATCCATCCCAGGGTATACTAAAGTTGTCAAAACAGTACTGTTCTCACCTAGGTTTTAGCCCAGCTGCCCTAGGGCGTTAAACCTATTTAAGAGGTACAATCTTAACAGCTACAAATTATTTTACTATACCTGGGTGGGGAGTAGCAACTGTCAATTAATATACAGTCCGATGACATAATTATCCACTAGACCAGTGGCGTACGCAGGAATTTTTCAAGGGGGGGGGGGGGGGGGGGGGGGGGGGGCTTTAAAATCGGGCCAAAAATTTCGCAACGACTCAGCTTTATTATTTTGCTCCCGAAAATTTGAAAATCGCGCCGGCCGAAAAGTCACTCAGGGGGGGGGGGGGGGGTAAGAGGACACTTTTTTTTTTTTTTTGGTCTCGAAAAAAAAAAAAAAAATCAAAAGGGGGAGGGGGTTTCACACAAAAAATACAAAAAAACATACACGTAAAAAAACTCAAGGGGGGGGGTTAACCCCCCCCCCCCCCCCTGCGTACGCGCCTGCACTAGACCACTATACATCTCTGGTAGCCCAAATAGATTGACTGCAACAAAATATACTCGCTAAAGATTAATGTGAAACGACCTTGAAGTCTTTCTCTAAACTGAAAAATAATGATAATAGTTCAGTTCTTGTATAGCGCATAATACTTCATGAAATAACATCTCTATGCGCTTCCAAAGAGCTTTGGACTAGTGTCTGTTAGGGCGTTAAATTTGTGTTAAAGTATAAGAGATAACGCCCTTTTGGTGCTAAAAGATATGATGCGGAAAGATAAAAGCTAGTTCTTGTTAGTAATGGACTTTTTCGCAATATTTATAAATACAATGTTTAGTTCGTTAATAAAGTATAAACGCTTCAAAAGCAATGTCTGACATCTCCTTTTCTGCAATAGCGCCATCATACTCGTGCCTGATGTATACATACAAAATCACTTTCTATGAAGGTATACCATTTTAATGGTTGTTCGCAATCGCTCAGAAATTACAAGACATGATGTCTGATGTTTGTAATACACGTAGTTATGGTAATGTATAATATCTGATTTCTTATTTCTAATCCGCGTCTAACTGCTGCAACCGGAACTGCCAAACGATGAGTTTTGATAATCATCGATCATTTGAATGAGATTCTATTTCTAGCAAGATTGAGGAAGCCTGTACATGCACGCAGTTTGAAAATGTACAAGACTAAAATAATACAAACCAATTTTTAGTACTATAAATACAGAACAATCATGTTAAGATTGTAACAAACTTTGGTTTGTTAATCCAGCGTTTTTTCCCCGTTATTGCCTACAGACTTGCTGCAACCAACATAGCAACATGTCTATACCAACTGCTCTCAAAGGCTTGAAACTCTTTGTGCTTTTGTGTTCTTAATCTGTTGACCATATTATTTGTCGTTTCCCATATGCTGCAGGAAACACAAAGTTTCTGAACTCTGCCTTTGAATCCTCTGAAAGAGATTAAAGGGATTGGTATCGATATGAATATCGACCAAGTCAAACAAGGGCTATGACAGGAAATCATACGAGACACCACCGCAATGTCGAAAAATAAATTCGCTATTGTCACGCTGTCGGAAATCGGCAATTTAGATCTCGCATGTACGGAATAGGGGCGATCTTTCGCTTCATGTTTCAAAGCTATAGCAGTCTACCATAGTTGTAGTGTTACGCTACGGTGACAAAGGTTCGTACGAACGATAATTTCGTACGAATTTCCCTGTTTTTCCATTGTCTTCCCGAATGTCCCTTGTCTGAAAATCGTTCGTACGGCGATCGCAGCAGTTCGTAATGGCATTTGTGACCGCGGCTTTATGCATAGACATGAACCGTAAATTTTGATAGGTGTCTCACCCCCGTAACAGAGGAGCAATTCCACCTGGCTTCAACTTGCCAATAACGGATGACATGCGGGGGAGGGGGCGTTCATGATGTACATCTGTATCGACTGTAAAGGCCACATTCGGTTCCTTCTATTTTGTTTGAAACAAACATATTTCCTCACACAAAGACGTCCAGTTTTAATGTTCGTTTGTGTTGTTCTCCTTCAGATTTCACTTTCTAATGGATGAATCGCGAACGTAATTAATTAATGGTCTTGAATGAAAAGTAACCCCAGGTTTAAGTGAGTAAATTACTCATTAACAACCCATCAATCATTATCTTATCCAATAATGTTTTACGCAAAGCAGAAAGGTATAAACTTGCATAAATAATGACTTTTGTTGCAAATTTGTGCAAGCGTGCTGTGCTTTCGAGTACTCTTAATACGAAATTATCCTGCTGAATAATCCCGAATAGGGATATGTCTTTGATAGCCGAATTTCATCATGCCTAAGTCACTTTTCGCGATATTCGTTGGCCCTAATCGTTGTGGTTCTTGAGATAAAAGACAACGAATTGACAGGGCATATCTCTTTTAAAACGACGTGTTCAAAGGCACAACATCTCATAACATTTTGTAGGGACAGAAAGTGACATGTGGACAGTATGATATAAGATCGAGTCACGTTGTGGAAGGTTCGTATAAATAAAAGCATTAAAACTAAGCCAAAGTTGTGTCCTCCAAGTCTAGGGACATCCCAGTAGACTGACAACAAACAGAATCGACAATTTCAGTCGACAATGTCAGTCTTTCGTATAACCCGAGATAAGTTGTCACAAGGGCCAAGGACGGACATGTCGGTTACGTGGACTGGCGGTCCCATGGTGCAGGTCTCGTGATCCCTCGGGTAGCTTTGCTGAAGGTTCAAAGGTTAAGTTGTCACAAAGCCCGCGTGACCAAGATGTCAGTCTCATAGTCTGGTGGTCTGGTTGGACCGGCGGTTGCGTGAACTCTCAGATACATTTTCTGAAGGATCACAAGATCGATAGTGGCGGTCTCCTGGGCTGTCGGTTCCCTGGTCTGAAGCCTAAAGTCTAGCTCTCGGAATGCGTGAGTAGTTTGTTGGATCTGGTCCTGGACTAACTTACCTGGTAAGACCTGTCTCTGTTTGGAACAGACTCTCAGCAATCTTCATCTTATCTGGAGTAAGAAGGTAGAACTCAACGTGTGGATAGAGACTGGATAGGTTGCGAGCGCTCTTGTAATACATATCTGTAGCTTGGTTCACCTTGACGTTGTACAACCATGGTACGATGATCTGAAGAGAAGAGAACAAGCATTTATTAGATTGAAGAAAAATAATGATCTCACCCATATGATAAACGCTTTTTTTTCTCTCCCTCTCCTCCTTTCAATCCATTATATTTTCTCTATTCATCCATCAAACCTCCTCCTTATCTTCATCCTCGTCCTTAATCCCCTTCTTCTTCTTTTTGTTTTCTTCTTCTTTTTCTTCTTCTTCTTTTTGTTTTCTTCTTCTTTTTCTTCTTCTTCTTTTTCCCCTTCTAATTGGAATAATGATTTACGGTTTCGGTATAACAAGTTTTCAAGTTTTACTGATTAGAATGTAAAAATTAAGCCCTATACAACCATGATACCTTTTCTGCTCTCGTAGTTGAATTGATGAGAATCTCATCCTGAAGCTCGTTACTTGCATTCAGCACCTTCAGGTTTACATGACCCATGATTCGGATGGTCGTTCGTCTTCCGACATCGACTTCGTATCCCCTAACAGGCGCCGAGTTCATCCGAAGTACGCACGGGTAGCTGTCGATCTCGGCTCCGGCAGACGTGTTGACGAGATGACCAGAGCTGGAGACGAGGGCGCACTGTGAACAACGCATGCGCAGTTTCTGAAGGAGATGAGAATAAGAGTTATATTTAATGACAGCTTCGTAGAAAAAATATTATTATTACTTTTAAACAACCATATTCCATATTACAAAAATCAATATTAGGGATCTTAGATGACAAACAATAAGTATATAATTATTTACAACAACTTCAATTTCGTTGCCTACGTGTAATTTTAAATGAGAATTGCAGAAAAGTGAAACGCCCTAAGCGAGAAATTAAATATAAATTATTCTTTCCTCAATAAACTGAGACTCGTAAAAAGTAGAGCATGTGTAATAACGCCCATGAACATAAACCTTCATAAATGTTCGACATGGACGAGACATGGGCGAGAAAGGGCCTCCATCTTGGGAAAAAAGAAAAAAAATGAATAACCTTAGAAATTCTGAAAGATGGAAGTATTTGTAGCTTGGAAATGCATATCCACGAGCAGTAGACAGCTTACGGAGTAACTGACAATAGATATTGGATTACAGTGAAACCAGACGCGCACGTGGATGCATATGTCCCCCAGGATATGAATAGCAATTGCCTCCCATATTGATGTGGCTCGCTTCAATCGCTTCAGCCAGAACGAGATGGTATGTATTAGTACAGGAGACAGCTCTAGAGGAGCAGGTGGGAGCGCGAGGGGGCGGAGGAGGGAGGGGGAGGGGGACTGGAGGAGTTGGCATGGTCACCATGCCTTTTCAAACGAAGTGTAGACAGGATTTCAAAGGCCTCTACTCATACAGTACTCTCCGCATAGTCGGGTTAGGCTGGATGAAACTTTTTGTAAAATCAATTAACAGGATGGGCGAGTTTCTATGTAATTAATAAGATGTGTTTGTTCGAATCTTACCCCATTAATAGGAGCACCCCTTTATAATATAAAGGGTTGCTCCTACGTTACTCAATTATGCGGAGACTACGGAATACGGTCGTAATCGTGAGACATCATGATCATAGATTCTACAGGCATTTCGAGTCAAGATTAATTTTAGAAAAAATGTCCAGCATGAGGGTCGTTAAATAGGGTAATTTCGTGCCAAATTACGTAATATGTATCGTCTAAATATACTGACTGATCTTTAGTGAAATCTAGCCAACATATCTATTCTTAGTAGAGATAAATTGTATAATGTTGCATGCCCAACCACAAAACTCAGCTTTACCGAACAATGCTCCACATCCAAACTTAGCAATTAAATTAAACTGAGATAACTAGGGGGTGTCGTGCTTAGATTCTTCTGATCCAAATACACTCTTTACGAACAATGGACTAAGTCTGGAAATACTGCAAATGCTATAAACACACATTTTAAGAAGCATTTATCATTTAATGTAGGGAGGATTTTAGGCTTTTGAAGGCAACAGACAAATTTTTACAAATAGTTCGGTGGATGGGTGTTGCCTTCCTTTATAATTATGGACACATCGAGGAGAGCAAGACGTAAACGATTTACACAATACGTTAAACCACCATGTTAACTCTTGAAAGTAGAATGCTTTTGAGTGTGTTTGGGAATCCTTACAAGCAGATTTCCACATCATGCCTTACAGAGGGTGGCTCACTTTCTTATCCGTACTTAAGATACAGAACCACCCACTCAAGTCCGGGACTCCAGTATCCAAATATGAGCCGTGTTTTTATGGTTACCTCATCCCACTTCGATGTCAAACCAAAGCGTGCCATTGGTTTGCCACAATGTGAGGAACCCTAGACAAAGTATGTATGTATTCAGCGTACCCAGAGCCCCCCCCCCCCCCTACAAACGCGCCACCCACCATGCTTTTTTCGTGCACTTTTCCATTTTTAATACGTCTGTAGAGCTTTTGAGCATTTGTCGGTAGTGAACACAAATTTGTCGCGTGTGCACAGCAGATGATTACTTTTGTTCATTTTTCGACCGCTTTACCTTTGAACATTTCTTTTTTTAAATGGAGCCCTTCCTCATAAACATGAGTAAATGACGGAGAGCAAGAATTACTATGATTCATGAGTCATCCCTTATGTCTGATCCCAATCTAAACACGGTAACCTTGACAGTTATTATTCATGAATCAGAGGTAGCTAAGATTGGGCATTCAGGTAAAATGGCAGAATATGAAGAACGTAATTCTACACTCAATAGGGACTTTTAGATTCGCACGAAGACAATGTGGATTGCTACGGTTGACGTCCTTTTAATGCACTGCCTTGAATGGACGTCACACGTATCAGTCCTCGAAAATCTAAAAGTCCCTAATTTGTACTGCCGAAAGACAGGGAATGTCACACTGGAAAATGAAGCGTCTACGGTGTACGATCACAGTGGCGTACGCAGGACTTTTTTTCAAGGGGGGGGGGGGGGTTAACATTTTTGAAATCGGGCCATAAATTTCGCAACGACTCAGCCAGCCGCTGAATAAGCGGGGGGGGGGGGGGTGTGTAAGAGGACATATATATGCGCCTGCACGATCATAATAGTGAGAATAAGTCCCGGTTGATGAAAACCCGGTTATTGAGAATTTAAGATAATAAATGTATGATTTTCTCTCATAATATTCAATGGAAATCGTTTATGTTCGGTTCAGCTCATTATCAATATGTATATCATCCATTTCCTGCCAGTCCATCCCCGTGATATTCTTTCAAACCATGAAGGTATTCTTATCAAACATGGCTCAACCTCACAGATTATGTTTCATATATTTTGAAGAGCATGTAACTGGCACCTGGGGGGGGGGGGCTATGTTTATGTCTATGGGCGTGGTATCACATCTTTTCATTATATTCGACTACATTGATACTTTACCACAATTCCTAAAACCTCGAACAGAGGCTAGATCTGCCAATTTCTGTCAGGAGGGACCTAACTACAGAGCCTATTGTAGTATCATAGTGTAACGCACATCGACTGACAAGGGTATGTGCTAGCAAGCTCCCGAGCATGGAGTTACTAATAACTCCATGACCTGAGGCATACCTTTCATTGCACTTTACCTGGAACTACAACCTTGCACCATATATCATCCTGATCAAGATTATCATCATTATTAGTGGCAGATCCCATGGAAGTAGGTCAAAATGGACACGTCCTTACCCCAGTAAAAGTTTGATTTGCAAGGTTTAATACATATTTTTTTGTTGTTAAGGAAAGCCTGTTCCCCCCCCCCCCCCCCCCCCCCCCCCCCCCACCACCAAGTCTTCCCAGGTAAAACATACTGGATCAACGGTTGATTATCGTTGATACCTTATTTCATTTTTTTGTAAAACATAGGACTCCCGACATATTGATATACCTGAGGCCCGTTTCACAGAGCTTTTATCAAAGACAAATGACAAAAATCAGTGACAAATCTGCTGCTAACCAATCAGAAGCAAGGATTTCAGTAGCTTATAACACTGTCATTTGTCACTGATGACAAGTTTTGTGAAACGCCCCACTGGTTTAACAGACTGCACTCACATCTTTGGTTTGTACGTTATAATACCCTTGTACTTCAGGGGGTGGGGTAGGCTTCACAGTAGCATTCACAAAATGTATTGAAGTCACATCTATTGTTGACGTCACAGGTGCCCTTGGATCGTCTCCACTGGGTCTCTTTCCATTTAAATCACGAAATTCATTAACAACTTCAATCTCCTCTTCCTCCGCTACTTCTTCCTCGACAACTTCAAACGTTCTCTGTTCCTCATCATTTAGCATGTCACCAATCAAATTCCCTGATTGTCCCGCTATTCCACCTGAATTTCTTAGGATCAGCTGCTGGATTTGTTTGTTATCGTCTATTGCCACGTTTTTCTCCGGCCCTATCTCTCCCGTTGCACCCACGTGTGGAGGGGCCACTATGTCGTCTGCTACATCGTGCTGTGTCAACGTAGCGTAGTCTGCTACGTCGTTTCGGCTGAACGGGAAGAGTGAGTTGTAGAAACGGGATCGCCTGGATGTGGTACCCGAGTCATCTTGGGAGTGATGCGTGCCTCGGAGTGAGTAGAGTAAGGACACCGAGAGGGCAATCATCGTATACCAGAAGGCTAGCAGCACGAAACGGCTTCGTGTCTAGGAGAGAGAGAAAGAGAAAGAGAGATGGAGAGAGAGAGAGAGAGATGGAGACAGGTAGGAACAATGATAGAAAAAATAGGCAGATATATCAAGAGAGAGAAGTCAGGGAGAGGAAGGGGAGAGAGGGTGAGAAGGGAAAAAGACAGAAGAAGGAGGATGAGGAAGAGGGTAAGGGGGTATGATTTCAAAGAAAAATAGAGAAGCAGAGAACGAGATATAGGCAAGAAGACAGAGCGGGTGAGTAAACAGAAGTGGGAGGAAAACGAATAAATGAATTAAAACAAGGTATTTTCAGGTGTCTTATATATACAACGATGGAAACATAGGTACACGGACATTGACGAATACATGGGGCAAGAGGTATTCATCCCTCCCCCTCCCCCTCCGTCATGTTCTAGAGAAGGAACAATTATGATTATGCTTGCGAAGGAGGGAACCATGTCCATGATTAAGAAGGCTGTAATCAATCTCAGTTTGAATGATTTATGTAACATTTTTTTTCGTCATCGCCAGACGTCTCTTAGGTCAAACTCAGAACCCACCCTGATTTCTCACCGCATAATTATGTATACACGATGTACTCATGCACTTGATGTTTCTCCAAGCAATAATAATTTAGAACAAACATGCCGAGCCGACTGCACGAAGAAAGCAAAGAAATTCAATATTGGTATGGCAAACAGGATCTATCGCGTGCTTGGCAACGCATGAGCAGAGTTACCATGGCAACTATTTTTCTCTTATCGCGAGGACGTGTTGGTAATTTCGATTCTCCCCACAGTATCACTTAGGCTTGTCTTAAGCATATTTTTTGATATGGTTAAGAATTGAAGGTAAAGATTATGAATCATTGGACAAGCTACATGTATCGACAAGCTTTCAAGACATCCTCAATACTCTGTTCATCGATGCTTCAGAGTGATGATCATGAAGGATGAATATTATAATCAAGCAGGTGTACGATTGCTACTACCGACAATAAGTCAGTTACTTTGAGCGTAATTATACGTTTCTAAGCGCTTAATATTATTATTACGTTTCTAAGCGCATAATTAGTGTAACTATTATTTATCCCGGTCAATAGATTCAATTGTTAATTCGCACTGTGGGCAAACCCTCCGCTCCCTGGGAAGTAATATATTATAACCAATTTTGTAAAACCATTGTTACATGTTCATTTATCTTGTGAATAACATTAATCATTATCTCAGACAGCATTACAAATGAATATTGAAAAAACCTGTTCGACAGAGGGAAAATACTCGTACCCTAGTCTCTTTTACATGTTAAAACGGTTGGAGAATGCGTATAGTTGTGTTGGTATTCTTCGTTGGTTATGTTTAAGTTAACAATTTATAAATGTACATAATCACTATCAGATTATCATGATCGCAAAGACATGTATAGTGCCAATTATTGCTTAATGCAACAGCTTTAAAGCATTGTACCGAACCTGAAGAGTTTCAATACATTTGTTAATAGCTGTAAGATGTTATTGATAATCTCAAGTACTCAATAAGGAAATTCCTGCCAACAAAGTTATGGGGATGGAAATATCTAGCAGGCGATCCCCTCTTTTGGACAGAAATTTTGTCTCACATAGGCGTACAAAGCGGGAGACTGGCTGATGGATCTCCCTTCGCCCCCCCCCCCCCCCCTCTTCCCCCCAGGCGCGGATCCAGGATTTCTTAGGGGAGGGGGCCCAACTTTTTTTTTTTTTTTGCTCCCGAAAATTTGAAAATCGCGCCGGCCGAAAAGTCGCTCTGGGGTAAGCGGTCATTTTTTTTTTTTTTTGGAGTCCCAAAAAAATCGCAACGACTCAGCCAGCCGAAAAGTCGCTCAGTGGGTAGCCTCTTGTCGATGCCCTCGCGCTGTTGGAGTCTCTAAATTCTGACGAGCGAAGCGAGTCAGAGAAACCGAAGCGCTTAAGAGGCTACTCAGTGGGGAGGAGGGGGGGGGGGGGGGGGGTAGTGAGCACAATTTTTTGGTCCTCGAAAATTTAAAAATTTGCACCCCCCCCTCCCCCCTTGAGCGCCAGGGGGGGGGGCCCAACCCCCCAAAAAAGGTTTTAAAAAAATTTCTCAAGGGGGGGGGGCCGGGCCCCCCGGCCCCCCCCCCCCCCTGGATCCGCCACTGCCTCCCCTAACCACCCGAGAATTTTGAAGTTACAAATATTCGGCCAGCTGCCGCCTCGTTCGACCGGCTGCCACGAAATATACGGGCAGCGAGTTGGCAATTCTATTTTAGAACTTCTTTTAATTTTGTGATAGCTGCTGTAAATCGCTCCGTCGCAAAAGTTCAAAACAGGAAGTTGATTCGGGGGTAATGAACGTAAGCCCCCCCCCCCCCTTTCTCCTGGTTGACGAAACGGGGTCATACACCTTTGAGCACAAAGGTCACCGTCCAGCTTGATTGATAAAGACGTTGTCAGAGGAGGAAATCTAGAATTAAAACAATTGGGTACAAAAATACCAGACAAACTCACTCATTTTTCTATAATATTATTACATAAACAGATCTGAAATCGTGTTCAACTCAAAATTATTAAGAGGTTATCCAAAGAGAAAATGTGTGTATAGCTTCGCAGTAGTAGCATGGACGCATTGCTAGGAGAGAGAGAGGGAGGGAGAGAGAGAGAGAGAGAGAGAGAGAGAGAGAGGGGGGGGGGGGAGGGAGAGGGGGGGGGCTAGGGGAGGGGGTTACAATATAGGGGCAGTTATTTGGGGGGCAGTTGGTTACTATATGGGAGGCAATGCTACCAATGCTGCTATACAAGGTCCATTATCATGAGAAGTACGCCTACATGAGAAATACGTGATAAACACCAAAGTAAAGGAGAAAAATGAAGGATGGATAGGCGATGAGTTCACTGTCTTTTTGGGACCCCTCCCTACCTGCCTCCCCTCCTTCCAACCCTTTCCCGATATCAATCAATTCCTAAGTGATATTGACAGCGATGTATCATACCTATATTCTCCTGAAATTCGGGCGCTTTAGTTTATCAGAGTCATCTACGTGCTCTCATATTAGCAGCTTATATTTTGATCCTATTATACCGTCCCACTAGGAGAGGTTTGGTGGACCCCAGAGTGCGTCTCACAGGGCAGAGAAGTTCGATCACATCCAGCCGTACTTTATCACATCCCATCATCCGTCTCATCTCATTTTCTTCTCTTCACCTACTACCACTTCCTCCTCATGCCATTTATCTTCTTTTATCTATTCTTTCAGCTACATAGATGACTGCATGCTACCCCATTGACTTTTAACAAATTTGATAGATTTATGGTAATTATGTGTGGATGGTAGGACTAATGATATGATTGCTTCAAAGAAGGGTATTTTCAAATGCAATTTTGTTTTCAGTCTGTATGTAAGGAACATGATGGTATCGGGGTAGTGTGGTTTCGTTCATTACGAGCTCAAAATAAGGAACACCACCCTGTCTGTTGTCCATAATTCGTCCTTGTCAGTTGATAAGAAGAACCTCAGGACACACCTCTTCAATGATGGAATGATTACTTCATTTTTATTTCGTTTTATCAGTTTTTTGTTGTTGTCTGTTTAGCATTTATTTATTATGTAGATCGTATCGAGCAATTATTTCATGGATTAAAAAGACTGACCGACCTGTGTCTATATACATGTATGACGTCATTATCCATCACAACACGATTCAATAACTAGAAGTCGATAGATAACATGATTAACTTGATGATGCAATAATACCTCAATAATCGAATCAATGATCGAGATTGTGCGCACAGTGTTTGCGGGCAAGTAGTGAATCCAATGACCGGGGTAATAGTATATCTGTTAAAGCGCTTAATTAAGCGCTATACAAAAGCAGATTATTAATTTCAAACATGTACAAGTAATAATTAACTCAAAACCGATGTAATGATTGTCTTCCAAAAGTGCATTCATGAAGGAGTGTTTGTAAGTGACGGACAGCTGCCACCAAGCGAACAAAAAAGGCCTATTTTATTAAAATAGTCTATAACGGAAATAAATACAAGAACGAAATAATAAAAGTTACAAATCTAAAGACCGTCACGAGAGTGAGAGAGAGAGAGTGAGAGAGAGAGAGAGAGAGAGAGAGAGAGAGAGAGAGAGAGAGAGAGAGAGAGAGTGTGTGGATGTGGGGGGGGGGGGTTACGTGCTGGGCGGTATAGAAACAGGGAAACAGATTATTTATACCATGGACCCTACATGTACCTTCCATGATTATACGAGACCAAGATGGGTAGAGAGAGTGGGAGAAAAGGAAATAGGAGAGAGAAAGGGAAAGGGCGGGGAAGAGGAAGAGAGGAAGAGAGAGAGAGAGAGAGAGAGAGAGAGAGGGGGGGGGGGGGAGAAAGAGAGCGAGAGATGGGGTGGGTACAGATAATGCCAGTACAATTACTAGGGTTAACGTAACAAATTAACGCTGAATTTGAGGAGCAGCTGTTACGAAATTAACATTTGTCTAGAATAATTGTCATATGGAAAAGGTTATCACGCTTCCGAAGTAGCATGAATTATATTAATTCATGTATTAACATTAATAATTCCTGGAATGCTGCAAGCGCCTTGGTGCTAATGTTGCCTTGCAGGAAAAATATTTGAGCTCTGCGACCGATTTTAAGGCTTTACATTTAACTATTATTTTTGAAGTGTTTTCGTAGATAAATAATGCGTCCCCGCACAAGATTGGTACAGTACAAGGATGAAATTATATACATGAACAAATCATGGAGTTTGTTCACTGTTAGTCAAGTTTGTAGACATTCAGACTAAGTTGGATATTGACTTATACTAAACAGGATTATGTTGAATTTAAGTTATTTTAAACGTACAACCTTTAATTTTATCGCCACTTGATTAAAGTTGTATACACAAAAATAATATTGAAGCCCGTTCATGTAGGTTTTAATGCTTGATGAGATAATGTGCGTACGATGCATGCGCGTGCAAGCGGGCGTGGGAGTTGTGTATAGTATTTATAGTATGTTTCACATTCGTTGACAGTAATTCCATGAAAAATTCGTGATTTATTTGAAAATTGGAAGGTTATATTCAACAAAACGTGATCCCATCAACAATGCATCATAACCTTTCGACGACTCTTCTCATAATACAAAAAAAAAAAATGTTGCCTGTAAATGACCGTTAGGGTTTTCGGGCAATACAGCCCAGCTTTTTTCAGTCTCATGACAAGTTCTATACTTTTGTATTGTTTTATTTGTCCGTGCAAAACACCAAGATAACACAGAACAATAGATGTAGCCTGAAATGGCGAAATCACCCTATGAGTTTGTTTTTAGTCAATAAAGAGCAATTGTCTCTCAATACAAAAATCTCTGAGCCCAGCCAATGAGTCGTAAATTAAAAACAATTAACACTGACATAGATAATCAAATCAATGTGCCGCAATAAGTAATTAATACAGACAATTAAAGAGGATAGTAGATAATCGAAACATGAATACTTTAAAGATGTTTGCAATAACACGAGCTTTGCGTGATCAAAGAATGAAGTGAATAAGCTTAATTAAAATCTCCCTCAGAATCACTTGAGGTAACAGCTGTTTGAGCGCGTGAGGGAGGGGTGGGGGGGGGGGGGGGAGTCTCCTCGGGCGCGAGGCTTGGCATATAAAAGTCTGAATTGATTAGTACTCAATGATAGCACAAGATAAAACTTTCTGTTTGAATAAATCTGATGGGAAATTTATATTATTACATTTTCAACAACCATACTTTTACAGGAGAGGAAAAGCTAAACAATTGCATGTGTTTTTTGAAAGAAGGGAAGGATAAGGCAAACAAAATTCGTGAATAGGAATGAAATAATCATCAAATAGAATTGATCCTGCTTTTCTGGATGAGAACCGTCTTACGTTTCAATCTCTACTGTATAAGCCCCCATAATCGAAACGCACCTGTCTGCTACAAGGTAATGGATACCCCAACACATCGACTAAAATGGTCTTGTAATGATCATCTTTAAAAAATAATAATACCAAACAATCTTTATCATACTGACACCTCACACTGACTTTTCAGTAGGATGTAGAACAAGCGTGTGTGGTTGAGGGGGGGGGGGGGGGGGAGGTAAATGTGTAGAAATTAGAAATGGATGGGTCTCAAACTGCATAGGAGTTAGTCGGGCACAAACCATGAAAACTGTGCCCCATGTATAGGCTAGGGTATTACCTGCGTTCAATGTAAGATAGAATGGTGCATGGGTGCATAATTAGGAAACATGAGAGATATTTTGTGAAAGAATATTGACGGGAAAAGGGAGAAAATAGAAAGCGTAGACCAATGAACAACGAGCAAGACGAGTGGAAAAAACAATTAAGCTGTGATATAGGGAAAGAAGAAGAAGACTACGGGAATAGGCAGGGGCGAAAAAAGAGGGATAGGTTCAGAGAAACGTGGAAGAGAGAGGGAAAGGGGTGGGGAGGTAGGGAAAATGAGGGAGGGGTAGAGAGATGTAAAATAGAGATGGAGAAGAAGAAAGAAAGAGAGAGAGAGAGAGAGAGGGAGAGAGAGAGAGAGAGAGAGAGAGAGAGAGAGAGAGAGAGAGAGAGAGAGACGGGGGCTCTAAACCAATCTAGAGTCCAAATTCGAGGACGAGTTTAAAGTCCAATATTCGTTCATTTACTCTGAGTAAAACTAACCGAGACAAATATGCACAGGCACGGGGTCCTTTCAACATTCATCAAAATCAATTTAAAGCAGAAAATCAACCACCTAGCAGGCTCAAATTTATATGAATTCTGATTAAAATGAAAAAAGGCCCTTAAATCAACACGCAATGCAATTCTTTATCGAATTAAATTTCGTTATGCATTTATTTGACTGTTTGAGTCTCCCTCCTTTTGAGAAAAAGATGAAGAAAATCGATGTTGATTCATGTCGGTATTATCAAATTCGATACGAATTACCACTCAGAAACACGGTTAATACGATATTCTAGGAGTCTTCCATCACTGTCTAGGTTTACTAATGAAATATAATTTTTCACCGTTCATCCGCCCCCAACACAAAGAATTTAATAACGATCCTTCCATGAAGAAAGGTCACGAGTTAATGAATCTATTAAAATGTTGAGTTACATGCACATCCATCAAGTGCAATGCACTGCTATTAGTTTTAATGGATGACACCTTCCTTTTAAACATACAAGGAAAGCTAATTAACAGGTCAGATAATAAACGAACGATGTTTCTAAAAGAAAATTAAAATTGGAACAATGTGCAACCTCTATCTCTCTCTCTCTCTCTCTCTCTCTCTCTCTCTCTCTCTTTCTGTCTGTCTCTCTCTCTCTCTCTTGTAATTCTTTCCTTTCCCTTCATTGCCGAATTTCCTTTGAAGTATAACAGAGTATGTATCATAGTATATTACATCGTTCCAAGGAAAATATATAGGTTTGTGACGTGTGTTAAGTCTTTGTCCAATATCGATGAGAGTAAGACACCTTACCAGATAGGCACCTTGACATTAAACCAGCCACAAATACTTCATTTCCTTTACACCTACAATAACGTCATTTCCTCGTGAATGTAGACCCGAGTGAGTCGATTTCTCTAAATTAAGGATTCCATTAGGCGAGCAATAGGAGATTGGGTCCTGACGAGTTATACAGACCTCTGAAAATTGGTGTGGCGAAAGGGGGGGGGGGTGAGTAGAGACGTAGTCATTACGTGAGGAAGGGCGGGGAAGGGACCTAGCTAGACCAACATTTCCTTAGGTAACTCAAAAATTTAGAACAATTATTTCAAAATTTCGTTGATAGTATTTGTGGTATCATTTTGTATCCGGGGGGGGGGGGTATACAAAAGTTGGCTCCCAAATTAAGGGGAGCCTTTTCCCTGTCATGATTAATGTTTGATGACCCTGGAATAAGACTCGCATCCCTGCCATATCACTCGCTCTGGAAATAGTAAGGATGAAAGTCCCATTCCGTATTCATACCAAAAGTAGTGTTGAACAGAAAGAGATGTGTTTCATTAAGTATAAGGGTGAGAGGCGATAACTACAGAGTGAGTCAAAAAAAAGTTTACACCTAGAAAATTGCAAATTATTAAAAAAATCATCGATGAACATTAAACTGTTATATGTCTTATGAAAAAGTGTTTTATCCCAAATCATTTGGTACCATTTTTGTGTGGTATGTGTTCACGCTTGGATGAACAGGAAACATTTTTGCGAGAGTGCAAAATTCGAATTGCGCCAAAGTTGCCTATGTGATATTTGAATAAAACAATTGGGTTTTGGGTATTAATTCGGTATTTGCAGATCCACATAACACTCCTAACAAAATTAATCATGCTACACATATCAAATATCGAATATCAAATATCAACGAACATTTGTTCACGTGTGTGTGGGTGTGTGCGACTTTGCTCTTTGCAAAAAACATATGCAATGCATTTCATTTGATGCATTCAATCCATTCTCTCACTCCGCTAATCCCAACATAATACATACTGAAGTCATCACTTTGGCGCAAGTCGATTTTTGCACTCTCGCAAACAATGCCGCCTGTTCATCCAAGCGTGAACAAATACCACACAAAAATGGTATCAAATGATATGGGATAAAACACTCTTTCATAATATGTATAATAATTTACTGTTCATGGATGACTTTAAAATTAATTAGCAATTTTCTAGGTGTAAACTTTTTTTTGACTCGCACGGTATGTGTTATTGGGACGATTGGTGTATTACAAACACACATCCGGCACACTGAGGTCAATGTATGAGGACAACTTCTAATCTTCTTTCCCTACATAGCACCTCTTCAGGCCTAAGCGTCATACACCACCTGCAAAGTTCTGGTGTGTTTGCACCGAATGCATTATATTTTGGTGAAACACCCTAGGACGTTTTAAACATGTACGTCCTGTGAAATCAATAAATAATTTCCATCCATCGGATGTCTGAGTGCTACTAAGTACCTTGCAGGACGTGAGCTTCCGCCATAGTCTCATCTTCACGTGTAAACGGGTCCGTCGGCTTCAACACGGCACCGGCTTCACGGGTTCCTCTCCCAGTGCCAGCTCTAAGTGCCTTTTCGGTAGTCTGTCTAGTTTGGGGTCGGTGTTACTTGGATACTGGCATACTTGTTGGTCAAGAAGTTCGTGACGTCATCATGGAGGGCATTGTGTTAGGTGAACGCAGAGAGTTATTTACACCATTGTTGATCGTCCACAGCAGATCCAATGAAGTAGTTAAAACCTATAAAATATCAGAATCAAAAGAATTTGAAATTACAATTGTAATTTGACAAATTATTTGACAAATTATTGCAATAAACCATGGATGTTTAAACGGTTTTTATAACAAAAAAACAAAAACAAAACTTCTTTAACGTAATAGACCAGTCTTTTACTCTAGGCCTATTCAAGGATATGGCGTAAAGGCAAAGGGAATTCGTTTTAGAATATGGGACTGTACTGATATCATTTTAACAAAATCGATTCCATTCACAGAGATGCTGTTCAAAGGACGGCAACAGAGAGTGACGTAACAATCGAATGTCAAAGATGTAAAGGAAACAGGAGAAAGAGGGAGAGAGAGAGAGAGAGAGAGAGGGATAGGATTCACGGGAATGAATATGAAACCCTCGCCTTCACTCGCTGCTCATTCTTTCCCAGTTCATCAACCTGTTACGACCAATACACCCCCCCCCCCCCCCTGCCTCTGCCACCGAACACTACATGTAGATATTAACAGTTGTACTCGAGTCATATTGCTCCCTGGAGTCTCTACATGTACATCCAAAAAGAAATAACAATGGGGGGAAACAAAATACTAATATTGCGGTTTATTCATCCCAACACAGCATTGGTATCTATATCTGGGGTACATCTTTTCATCGTATTCGATAAGCTCACGAGATCTAGGACAGCGTAACAAAAACTTCAGATTTAGTTGACGGCCCCAGCAACATGCAGCCAAAAAACCCTGCTGGCAACAAATATGAAGGAACTGTAAGATCATAGAGATGTGGGATATTGTTTTCTTTTTATTAAGGTCGCGAACAAAAAATAACAAGCTGTGTTACGATCGCCGCACATTCTTAGCCTATGTATTGCAAATGTTGATGTGGAAGCTACATGTACATGTACCTGTGTCCTCGTATAGTACATGCATCCATTTAAAATACGGTTAGATAAAAATGAGGATTATCGGTGAGGAAGAACCACCATTAGATGTGCATATACTAGGGCGGTATAAGCAGTGTTTTTGCAATAAAAATCTCATTACTGTAATGGAAGATAGATTGAGGAGTTTGGAAGCGCTTAGATACAAGGCCGACATCCTGAGCCACTAATAGCCAATCTGTACCCATCCCAATATCCCTTCTGTACTTTGTTTAACCGATCAAGAGGAAGGATGCCTTCGCAAGCAATGACATTAAAAATGCATCTTCTTCTTCGGTCGTTTGCATTCAGGTCGTTTACTGTCTTGCCGAGATTCACAGTGGGATAGGACTTCATCTATCACGTGCAGGATAAGTGAAATATACATGTAGTCTAACCAATAGAACAAAGGAAGTTAAGGAACCGATGAAACGATGAGCGCTGGAGTTTGAGATATAATTCTCGATGGAAAAATGTTCTGATGTTTGAAAAAGATAGTATAAACAAGAAATTATACACCAAGAAATATTGATATATTGATATACTGATATTCAAATGCCACATTAACTAGAACGGGGATAAAATTAGTCTGAGAACCAACTGAGAACGTATTTTGATGCTAAATATTTTGGATAACTTTATCACTGTTCAGTATTATCATGCCGAACCAAGCTGGCTTTGATCCGAAAGAAACTTTGATTTTCATCATAAATATTTTCAATGTATTACGTCTTAATTACGAAGTAGAAAAACACAGCAAACATCACGTTTTAGAGGGCCTGTTAACAATGGACGCATACACCAATACATAAAACGTAAAGAAATACGAGTAAAACAGAATGATGCCTCTTTTAACACGTATAATAGTACCGGTTTTTTTTTGCTATATTCAGTTTGAATCAATCGCTTGTCCTTCTGTTTCTTGCTGGAATAAGGGTAACGAGTATAATCGGAATCACACATGTATAATATTCGCGACGTATAAACAGGAAATCCTTGATATAAACTAAGAGGTCCTTATTCTACTCAAAATGAAACCCAAGGCTGAATTAAAGTGAACCGGTAATATTGTTGAAGGTTGGTGAAAAAACTGCGTAATTTTTGTAGGAAATGTTACTTATTATATTCCTTTTACGGTACTTCTAACCCTGTAACATGCAAAATAAAACAAATATGAACAAATTCTCAAACCACAAAGATATTTATGGTGTTTTTTTTAAGGCGTCACTGTGCAGAACCCTCTAACAGTAAATTATCCAAACCAATTTTTAATTTTCCCACCGTTTTCCATGAAAAGAAGACATAGCACAACTACACAAGCTTTAAGAAACCTTAAAACTCAACACTTAAAAGTTTTGAGTGGTATTTAAAGCCAATTCATTGCTTTGTGACGATTTACATTCTCCTAAAATTTAATAAAATTATAATTAAATAGTTGGGAGAAATCAGGAATTGATCAGATCAGTTTTCCCCAATTTTTATCATTAATAATGATCTGTTTTCAGACAAACTTTCAAAATATCATCTTTAATTATACATCTAGCATTGAAGTGACTTACCTAAGCACCATTATATCTCATCTGAACAATAGGTTACCAAATCCCTTTAAGGCTTTTGTGCAAAAACGGGTTAATTAAATGAAAAGTCGAAGTCTTTGTTTCATTTTTCTCAAACATGATTTTAGAACCAGCGTTGGGTTTAAAGATGAAGTTGAGTTATGGTCATGCGATTGCATTGTGAAAGAAACGGTGTGGAATCGACCAGAAAGGGTTGATCATCTAGCATATAAGAATTTGTGTGTATTGCAAGGTTCTGGAATCATCAAAATGATAAGAAATTTGGCCAAGTCTTGGTAAAGTTACATACACTGTGCACAGAAAGATGTATATGGGACTACACGAACTCGTGGCGTCAAAATCCTACCCCGAGTTTTACGATGTTACATGACATATTTAGAATATGAAGGCATTTGAAGAGCCATGCTTTTCAGGGAACATGTCTTATCTGATGTTCTTCCACACTTGCATAATAAGAATGATAGTGCTCACAAATTATTGTTCACCTTTTCCCAGAACTCAACCTTCTCTTTAACAAATGAATTGTTAGGCTGAAGGTTTACCCTAATGGGCTAATAGCTCCTTGCTTCCATCGACTCAGAATAAGTAGAATACTGTTCACAACAGAGTAGCAGTCATGTACAAGCCTGGTCAAAGAAAGACGTATAAGGAAAATTACTCAATGGTAATATGCTTCGTCATGTATGATTGAACTATACCAGGAGCGGAGGTTTCCACAATTAAACTCCAAGGAACTCCTTCGTCTCATGGTAACCATAGAAACGCGACAAGGAACCTTTTAATGAGGAAATATCAATTGAGAAAAAGAGCGAATTTTTGTAGCAAATAACGGTGCACTGTACCATAAACCGTGCAAATGAAAGAAATAGGAGAAAATTGCACATCGCTAAATTGTCAAGAAATTGAATTATATTCATGAAATGGGTCTATCATCTAGCAATACATGATACTCATTATACAGGTACATCATGTTATTTCAACATCACAGCCATGATATGGTCACCTTCCATCTCCACTCTCTCTCTCTCTCTCTCTCTCTCTCTCTGTCTCTCCCTCTCTCTCTCGCTCACATACTCTCTCTCTCTCTCTCTCTCTCTAAACGTGACAATGATTAAATCAGGAAGACAATTTCATCTTTCTATATGAAAGAAAAAATAATTGGTCATCATATAAACATAATTTTGTTGGCTCACATGCAAGATATACAGTCAAGTGTGTATGAAGTAAGTATATTCTCATAAATCAAATCCGGCTCACTTGATCAAAACAAGAATGTAACTTGGATGTCATCCAAAAAGAGATACAATGTATGTGAAGGGGTGTTACTCCTTACATTGAGACCAGAAATACCTTAAGCAGTCTTCAGGGTACACAGGTGATGACACAAATCATCATAATTGACCGAATAGTTACCTTAATTTCTCTCGAGATCGGTCTCCACGATGAGGCATATGTTTACGATAAATCTTCACATTGCTTGTACTATACTGACAATAAAACAGTTCTTACAGAGACATAAACAAAATTCACGTTAGCAAGAATATTCCAGAACAGTTGATAAAAATACCTCAATCCCTCAGTATAAGGATTAATGCTCATTATATAATTAAACGCAATGTCATGACAAGGACAATCAATTCGATATAAAAACGTGTGATACTCCCACCAATTGCATTGTTTGTTGATGGTTCGGACTATTCTCCGCAGTGGGTCTGTGAAGAAAGATTATATAATTCAGGCAAATAACGAAACACGACCTTATCGATATAAAAAGGCGTTATCTTGTATGCACATGTTTTTTTAATTGTCTAAAAACAAGATGTTCTCTCTTATCATTTATCATTGCGCTTATCTGTGTGATATAGAGTTATTAAAATGAACCAACTGCTGGTTTGTATGCTAGACTTCCTAGTACTTAAAAAAATGTTGCGTTCTGGTAATGCAATACAAATTGTGAAAGAAACTGTCTGGAAGCAATTAGGAAAGATTGATTTTGTAGTACGGATGAATTCCTCCTCCCTCCCTCCCCTCCCCTCCCCCTCCCCCTCCTCCTGCTCCTCCTCCTGCTCCTGCTCCTCCTCCTCCTCCACCTCCACCTTCCCTCCCCTCCCTCCTCCTCCCCTCCTCCTCCTCCTCCTCCACGCCCCCTACAACAATGACACCGATGCCCCTCAATGGCTGGACCCACGACACACCACAGACCAAGAGACAATGGCACCATAATTAATGCCACTTCTGTAGCCTAATTACTTATTGTAAAATAAAGAGTTCTTAACCTTGACAGTGTGACCAGGGGCCACGCCCCATATCGATATGATGAACATTTGAATGTGGACTATAAATGAGATTGTATTTCAGGCGACGAGATAACTTCTCAATATAGGCTATTTTCGTAATGGAATCCAATAGGCCATTTTCGTAATGTAACCAAATTTAATGCATAAGTGTTTGTGAAGTGCCTCAATACAAATTATTTCATTCACCTGATAGGAATAATAGTATTTCAATAGTAAGAATGCAACTGCATATATTAAGTGTTGCTAGGTAGGTCAAGCCATAATGTTTGTCCAACCTGGCAACAACTAATGTATGCAGTTCGGATTCTGTCTATTGAAATACTATTATTCTTATCAGGTGAATAACATAATTTGTATTGAGGCACTTTACAAAGACTTATGCATTAAATTTGGTTACATTACGAAAATGGCCTATTAAGGGTTTGTTAAGTGCCTCATTATATATCATTTCATTCACCTGTTACGAATAAATTAATGTAATAAAATGCTACATGGTAGGTAGGAACAAAACATTATGGCTTGTCCTACCTAACAGCAAGTAATGTGAGCAATTCGAACTATCGAAATATAATTATTCTTAATAGGTGAAAGTAATGATTTGTAATGAGGCACTTAACAAAGATTTATGCATTACATTGTTTTACATTACAATGGCCTATTTCATTTACAAAATAAGGAAAGTGACGGGATGCAAAGACTGGACGGTGTAGCCTATACGATGCTAAGGTCACCAACAAGTAGGCTGGTACTTTTGCCCTCTGTTTTTATAATCCTATACGAACTTCCGGTTGAACCAACCTTGTCCTTAGTTGACCTCCTATCTCATTTCGCCATGTTGACATATCTCCGACTTTAATACGCTTTAACGATAATCATTTTACTTTTAACACGATCGGAACCATCAACCTATAAAGGCAATTCCAATAGCCTTGTCCATAACCTTTGGAAATGTGCGGACATTACGATGACATATTACGTTATTCGTTCATGATTTAAACAGAATACATACAAATGGAAACAATATTTTTAATAGGGTATTGACTTTGCCCTTTATTTGATTTCCCGACTTTTACGTCTATAGTTGCGATCGTGTTCCCCCCCCCCTTTTTGGGGGAGGGGGAGGGTTCCAGACCAAGGAATTTTCCGAATTTTTGATGCATTCCTTCACACATTTCAAAACTTTTCGCCACAAAATATATGGACAGGGCAAGGAATTTGGGATTATGAAACTAACACATTACCAAAATGTTATGTTAGCGTGGGATTATTATAAAGTGACATTTGATTAACTTCACCTGCGACATATAGGTCCTGTTTCATAGATTGTAAAAGTTGTTATCAATACCAAGTGCAAAAATTATGTGACATTCCTCTCTCAACCAAATAACTTCACTAGCAGTTATTACAAGCTTTATGCAACATGGCCTTGGACTCATTTAAGGTAAAGTATTGGACAAGATATCTCTGACTGTCTTGTCCACATAATGTAGATGTAGAGCCTATACATTGGAAACACATTGAGTAACAAGGACATAGACCTCGCCGCTCTTTCACCGTAAACTGTTTAAACAAAAGTGATAACACTGTCTTAGCAAATGGCCAAACAAAACAAAAAGGAAAACATTATAGGTATACGCTCGTAATCGACCTCCTCCAATAAAGTCTACCTTCGATCGATAAAGGCCATGTCTGGACATTGCTGTAGTGTCATACAAAGCACATTGTCCTCAACTTCGGCTCAAGACTCAAGTCCCAAGCCTCACAGGCGAAACGCCCTCGTCTAATGCCCATCTGTTATAGGAAGTGGACAATGTCTACGATCCCACACCGTAATCTTCCCCTTCCGTTCGAGTTTTTGAGTCATATACATGTACATGTAGTTCGAAACCGATCAATAAGTTACAATACGCTGAAAGCGCCTATAAGGGTTTGGTATTAACTAAGCAACCTGGAAACATATAAAACTTAAAATAGCAAGGTTTCGTTACTTCGTTCATGCATATCATAGCTTTGATAAAACGATTAGTGATAAATCATTAACCTACAAGCCATAAACACACCTTACGTACACCTTACGTTCCCCTTTCTTCCAACACAAGCAGATACTCTCCTAGCATGCACTTACTATGCTCCTAGTATGCCTATAGTATTCTAACACAGGAATTGTAGTTTGTATTTTTCTTATTCAGTGTTTTCATACTACCTCAAAGGAATATATCGATTTGTAGTATTGAAGGAGAACACTGCTCATGACATGGCAATATACTCTGCGAAGAATGTGACCATTATCTCTGGATAACACCTACTGAAAACATGATAACAAATTACATTTTGTATACAGAATGTAACGTTGTATTCGGGTAAATCCCTTAGAGGCTCCATCGTGATAATAAGCAGGTAAAGATAACTGTATATACATCAGAGGAAGATAACGAAGATAGGGCATGTAATTGTGGAAATAATAAACAAACCTTTAATGTTTGCATATAGTCCACATCACGACCCGTTTAGTATATTTGATTTGATTTGATTTGATTTGACTTATTCATTTCTGTTGCATTCTTACAAATATATAACAAACAGAACATTGCAAATTTACACATTTCAAAAGAATATAATGTCGACTAAAGTAAGGCTGGCTTTAACTAATCGAAAACATCAAACCGGAGGGTTACCTTTGTTGCTGGGTACTTAAATAATTATCTTTGCTAAAGTCGATTTGCAGAAATGCATTCTCTCGTATTCTGAATAGCCCTTCTCCGAGAAACTGAAAGAGAGATACGAACGTCATTCGTTTCACGTCTTTCAATAGATTCCTTTTCTAAAGACTACTCAATTGCCGTGGCAACTTCAGGTTTTCTGAGTGGTTTGGTTTCAATCATTTCTATGGATCTATACAACAAATGTTAATTTTGTTCAAACAACATCATCTCTGGTTCTAAGTAAGCCAGTTTATACAAACGTTAAAGGCCATTTACAGAAATGTAAAGAGTAAAGAAATATGGCATGGTTGTGCATCACTTTTTCACATGAGATATTCCAGAAGTTGTTTCCTTAAAATAAACAGTCGAAATAACAGACTGGGCCATGTTCTATCTTGTTTGTATGAAACTAAAACTTTGAATACAACGACAAGATAAAAACAAACCTACGACAAATTACTAAAGTGTCCTTTACACTTCATAAATGTGTTTTATGACTAAAATATGCACATTGATCACATTACTTTTCTTTGTAAATAGATCATATTAGAAGTATCAATGACCTTTGATATTACACAATGGATCTGTCATAATGAAAAACTGTATCTTTACACACAAAAAGAATTATAAACAACAAGTATTCAATGAGTTCCATTTACAACATTAATCATCTTATGTAAGAGTGATTTTAATATACTTCCCGGGTAGGTAGGCCAATATGTAAAACAGTGTAGAGGGATAATGTAAATGGCATGTATAAATATATATATATATATATATGTTTAAATGTATGCAATTTCTTAACAATTCCTTACGGCTATTTTGCCTCAACTTCATTACGGTCAATAAATGTAATACTCCTTAATACTTGTTTATCTGCCTATCTATAGAGAGCTCTCATCCTTACCTACGTACAGTTCGTCTCAAGTCAGAGCAAAGAGTTATCTCTTTGGTCGGAGGTAAGATGCTAAATAAGGAATGGGCGAGGGAGTTTTACTCTTTGCGCTGTCATCATTGACATTGAAACCTTGCTAGAAAATTAGAAATTGAATACAAATACAAGATATTGGCATTCCTATATATCAAATATAGATCATGATGTGATGCCTTACCCGTATAATGGATATCCTCTAGAAGATCTTGCTTGCCAGGCTCGCCGGGCCGGGGGCTATCTGCCTCAAACTCCTGAGTGTGCTCATAAAATAGCTCGTGAACATACAATGTGCGACGAAACTTGTAAATAAAGGTACTCTATTCCAAATAAAACCAGAGAGCAGGAGCCTATTTGACTGAAGCCTTATTCCAACAAACTAGAGATGTATTACATCGTCATTACACACATAAATATTCATAACTATAGATCCAGAGAAACGGCGTGTGGAGCAGATGATTTGCCTTTCAATGTAACGTCGATAAGCAACGGAAGAGTGAACAGAGATGCTTTGTGTAGTTCAATGCGGGAAAAGCGTGCGCGCTCCGCACAGTGCGTTTATCTCTGAAGATAAGACGTAGAAGACATTCTTGCCGGTTACGTAATATCAAATCAATCGGTCTTAATTATTTCTTCTTTATCTCCACACGTTCATTCAAGTCGTATTGTTATATACTGCGCACAGTATATGGGGGAAGTGCAAAGTAGCCATTAACCCTTTGCTTACGGGAACCTGGTGGTCCCTGTGTTAAGCCTATGGGACTTATAGAATTCGGTAGTCAACGGGTTAAGCCCTGAAGATCTAACTACTTCAACAAGGCAATTAAGAAATAATGACCTACACATAAGATTCTAAATAGGCCTGTGCATGCATGTACTGGGTAAAATCTCTTAACGAAATTAGTCTTACGAGCGAACGAGCTAACACAATTAAAATGCATACAATTTTACTTGAATGTACATGTTTATCTAGTTTACTTTAACAATGTACACAGCGTAGCACGAACACATGACATAGAAATGATGAAAACTTTAAAATTAATGTGTAATCCAGTGTTCGAATAAAGAAAAAAAGAAAGCCATGTTTTGCTCGGGGACACATGCCCCAGTAAATGGATACGCCATTGCAAGTCGTTAAGTAAGTTTAATTTAAAAAAAAACACCCTGTATTAAAGATACTATGTCCCTTTTGCAGCCAACCTCAAATTCTGTAGAACTTTGCAGGAATTAAGAATATGTCATGTATGTCCTAATCTGTGAAATTTAAACGTTAGCAGTGTCCTAATATTCAAATTATGCAAGGAAACCCGTTTACTTGATAGACTTCACTGTCAGACACTATTGTCAGTATTGAGTGACTGACTGGCTTTTTCTTCTTCTTTGGTAATAACATACATTACATGAGCTGTACAGGGTACATGAGCATTTGTCTACATCAATAACCCACTTCTTGTAATGGCCAAAATTAAACTGATTGAATCTTTGTGCAGCATAAAACGTACGACCATGCGGTACAATGGTCTGAAATCAAGACTATTACTTATTGGCTCCAAGCTCCTAAGTCGATTTGACAACTAATAGTCATTATTTTCCCACTTAAAGACATTTTCAATCCCCATTTTTTCAAGGGGAGTTCTAAATTAGTATTATCTTTCAAATACCATTGGAATTTAACCTTTTAATTTTTTTGAGCCTGCAAAAGGGACATAGTACCTTTAAAACAAACATTCAGAAGCATTAAACATCACTGGTTTGCTAACACGCATGGAGATATATTATAACAGTTAAACAAAACAAGAAAAGGCATTCAGTTTGGCGGGGGGGCCGGGGGGAGCCATGTCTTATTTAACTATTGTTATTTATACTTTTTATTATGTTATTTTATTGTATTTGTTTGCTCATTAAACTACTTATTCATTATACTGTAGCTATTCTTTATATGTCGATATATTATTTCATCCATTTCCGTTCTTTATTACTTGTTTAGGTTTTGTGTTTCGTCCCTGTTGGAAGTGTGCTGCCAGACACAAACCAAATCAACTAAGATCAAATATTGGCGTGGGCTACGGAAATCTAGATAAAATCGATTTAAAGAAAACTTACCTTTACATAATGCTCTCAGAGGAAATATGTTTTATCAAAATGTCTTGGGGATTGCGGCAAAAAGCGAAGTACGGAAACTAGCTCAAAAACAACCCAAAGCAAACATATTTATGTTTTTAAAAATTACCAATGTCGCCTCTAAGGAAATCTTACCTTCTTTCTGTATACGAACCGAAGAGAGGTGTCAGTGGCAATCAAGTAAATGGGCCTATATATTGGTAAACGGATAATGAATAGAGAGTTTTTGACATATACATGTATACTATACACATGATACTGGTTGTCGCTGAAGCACATTTTTGTCTGTCTGTCTGTCTGTCTGTCTGTCCGTTTCTCCCTTTCTTTCTCTCTCTCTCTCTGTTTCTCTGCCCAATCCCCTTCCGTTCACCCCCTCTCTTTCTCTCTATCCCATTTCTCTATGATGGGGGAACCGATGTGCTAACGTCATATTCGCTCGTCGTTCAGGTTACATGAGGTTCACCGTGACATCATTCAAGCAACGGGCTGGAGCAGGGCAATGTCAGTGTTTGGCGCTGGTGTGATCACAACGCCATTGTTTAGCACAAAATGTTTGGAACCAGCAACCTTGACAACTTGGCTTATATGACGTCACACTTCTTCGGTACTCTTCGTTCACATCGATATAACGTAATTTCCGTTATAAACCTTTTGAGGCAACAATCCTTCAAGCAAGCTTTTAACCATTTTGTTGTATCGATCACTAAATGTCAACCTTACCCTCCGTATTCGAATCAAGCCTCACATACTATTACAGCCAACTCATATTCGCAATGGATTGACTATCCCATTAGGAAGCAGCGCTTCTAAAAGAAAGGACCAGGGGGTGTTTCATAAAGAGTTCGTAAAGTTACGCATGACCTTACGAACGACTTGTATATGAAGTGCCAGAGAGGATGCCCAAAGTTTGTTCTCATATTTCCAATAACCTCGATTAAATCATGGCAAAAAATATACTTTGCATTAAAAATGTTTGTTATAATAAGAATGTTAATCTACATCTGCACTGTTCAACTTAATAGATAATAATCAAGAAATATTGAGCATCCCATTTGGCTTTTCATATACAACTCGTTCGTAAAGTCATACGTAACTTTACGAACAGCTTTATGAAACACCCCCGGTCTATTTAAAAGCCATAATTCTAAAGTTATATTTCCTTTAGAATCATCATTGCTTGTACACTACTGCTTCTTGCTGCGGTTACATTATTTACACAAAATGTTTTACAAATTATTTCATGACTTTCTTCTAATTGGTGTAATACTTTGGCATAATTGATATATTGTGTTATATTAGGTCTGATCATTACACAATGTATATGTTCTTTCAGCGTGTATGTCTCGATTTGATGTGGCTATTATGCATATAGAAGCTTTTTCCTATCATGCATATGACGGACAAAATAGCTATTACATAGCAAATGTAATTATCACCCGAACAACAAGTACTACAAAAAAGTGTAACTACGTCTAGAGAACGAAGATGACAAACCATTTGTCATTCCACTGGAGGAAATTCTTTAGAATCTTCAATATTTGAAGAGGCTGGCACTGGAGGTCACTTATTACTGATGAAGATTGTGTCTTCAATATATATAATGGGAATATGAGTAAATTGAATTTGTATCTCGCCCCCTTAATCCCAGTATTTTGCAAATGATTAATTGCTGGGCTGCCTTGATTATTATGTGTAGGAAGAGATTGTAATTAGCATTTGGTAACAATATATACCGTGCATAATATTACATGATCTCTCTTCCAAACAACATTTTTACACAAGAGGAAAAAGCAAATATAGGTACTTTACTTCGTATTTTCTTAAATTTTTGAATTAATATCATTATCTACTTTATCTTAAACGTTTTTCCAGTTTACGACACTAACCGGCTCTTTTACAGATCGACCCGATATAAAAGGCAGTTGGACATTATCAACTATTGGCTTATAAACAATAGCGGTGAATAGCCTACTCTGAAGATTAAAGTGGGACCAGAATGCAGGCTATATACAGACAATATAAAATACTCATGTTTCTATGATATATACGTCGACCTGCAAATGACTTGCGATATGGATAGAATGAGTATAAGTAGCATCTGAATGAGTATCACACATTCAGGTCTGGATTCGTATAGGGTAAGGTGACAGATCATTTAGGAACGTGTTGCAAATTACTGCCACAGTTAATGGATGCCAGCTTATATAGGAATGAAAACAGGATGACGACGGTAACTGATGAGAGTCTGTATAGATGGCGATTTGAAAGGCTATTCCAGAATATTATTGTAAAGGAAACCAATGAGAGAGAGAGAGAAAAAAAGAAGAGAAAGGGGCAAAGAGAAAGGGAGATAGAGGGGGGAGGGTTTGAGGGCGGGGAGCAAAAAGAGACGGGTGAAATCCAAGGAAAATGATTACACTGGTTGATACCGAAGCCAAAGCATCGAGGGGCTATAACAAAATATTCACATCAAATGCCCAATAAAAGATATAAACATGTCACGCTTTTTTGGCATATTAAACATGTCAAAATATGTCGGTTCATTCGCCTGATAGCCCACCAGTTTAAAACAAGTCACTATAGTTCAATACTTCTGTTTTACCAAAGCAGTAGCAACAAACGAAAGCAAAAACAACAATTGTAAAATATGTTTACAATGAAGGAGAACTGGGAGTATATTACACATCCCAACAAAATAACCCCTTGTTTACTGCCCCCAGTGGCCCCATTGTTAATGTTTTTCTTTCCCCCTTCTCGCCCCCCCCCCCCCGATTTTTCTTCCCAACATTTTCAAGGGGTTTTACACACATTGCAAAAAATGGCTTGGATAGTTAATGGCAGGACAGTTCCCACGTATAGCAGAGTCAGCAGCGGTCACCGGCCGATCTTCCTTCATCAATTCAAGCAATCCTTACTACGCCAACGATTCCGAAAACGCCTTCTTATTAATTCATTCCAAATTATTCCAAAGCCATCCTATTAATTTGGCGAACTCAAAAATACTCCGGAGTTTTTCCTACACATCGCATTTGGGAGAAGCTTGCTGTAAGTACGCGAAAATGCGCTCGAGGTGCTGTGGGTGGATGGACATGTGTAAGTTCCTTGCTTTCATAACTTTTTTCGAGATGCGCAGATGTTTGAAAATTCTGGGAAGGATTCTTATTTTCAGGATTAACAATACCCCCCCCCCCCCCTGGATTCAATTTTAACAGAATTTAATGGAAAGTAACCAAAAGATATATAAATTACAGGGGGGTATCAACTTTTTGGTTTTAATTCATAAAATCATCAATTCAATTTTGTATCTACCTCCCCCCCCCCTCTCTCTCTCTCTCTCCCACTTTCTCTCTCTCTTCCTCCCTTTGTTCCACTCTTAACATTATCTCTCTCC